AATATCTAATAACTTAATTAAATAAGATAGAATTAAAATTTTGTTTTGAGAAAATAATTTATTAATATTTATTTGAAATATAAATTTTTTATATTGATTAATTCAATTACATAATATTATAATATATAATTTGATATTATATATAAGAATTCTTAAATTTAAGTAACTTTTACAAAAAATTAATCAAAAAATAATGATATAAGAAATTATTTAAATTTAAAAGTTTATGATATATTTTTTTTATATTAAATTTTAATAAATTAATAATTTTTTCTTTATTTTTATTTATAAATTAAATAATAAAGTTTTTAATTTTTTATTATTTTTTTAAATAATTTTTAATTAAAATAATTTTAATTTTAAAATATTAATAATATTAAAAATTAATATAAGAAAAATTACTTTAATATTTTAAATTATAAATATAGATAGATTATTTTATAGTTATTATACTTGAAAAAGTAAAATTAAGTAATTAAAGAAAGATATAATTATAAAAAGATTTTTTTAATTAGTAACTAAGAAGTTCAAAAAAAATAATTATAAAAAAAAGTAATTATAAAGAGATATAATTATAAAAAGATTTAATTATATATAATATTTTATAAAATTATTTATAAGTAATTAATTTTAAATGATAATTTTTCAATTGATAATAATTTTTAATTAAAATAATAATATAATTTTAAGAAAATATTAATTATTTGATTTAAATAATTTTTAATAAGATTTTACTTTTATTTAATTAATTTTTTTATATAAATAATAATTATAATTTGATAATATTAAAATCTATTTTATTAGAATTAAAAATACTTAATTTTATAATTATAATAGATTTTAACTTATTATTTTTAAGATATAATTTTAAATAATTTTTATTATATGAATTTTATTCTCTAATATTCTTAATTTATAAGTATATTTATCAAAAATTTAATAAATATAATATAAATTTTTTTATTTTTGCATAAATTTTTTATATTTAATGCTAAATTTTTATTCTTTTCATTAAGATTTTATTTTTAATAAAAAAAGATTAAAAATTTTTATCTTGTTAATAAGTTTTTTTTATTTTTATTAAAATTTTTATATATTTTATTAAGTGATTAATTTATTTAATTCTAATTTATTTATAATAATATAAGTTTTTTAATTATTTTATTTAAAATAATTTGATTTTCATCTTTAATTAATTATAAATTAAGATTTTGAGATATTATAATTTATTTATCATAGATAAGATAAAATAATATGAATTTTTTATATAGTTAAACTAATTTTTCAATAATATTATATAATATTCTGTTTAATTTTTTTATAAGTTTATTAGTTTAAGAATAATATAATATTAATAAATAATATTTTATTTAATATTTATTATATAATTAATTTATTAGTAAATATTATATTTCTATCTGATATTATTTTTTTTGAAAAATTATATCTATAAAGAATATCTTTATATAAAAATAATACTATTACTTCTGTTAAACTATTTAATATTAGTCATACTTTTACTTATTTAATATAATAATTTATAATAATCATTATATATTTGTAATGATTTTTAGTTAATATAAGTGATCTAATAAGATTTATATTTATTTTCTTTGCTTTTTATTAGATATAATGAATTATTCTTTCTAATTTTGCTTTTATATTAACATATATTACATATCTTATATAATGCTCAATATTTATATATATTTTAGATTAATAATAATTTTGAATGATTTTATATGTTATTTTAATATCAAAATTGAATACTGCTACAGGTATACATGTGTAGGTTTGCGCTTCACGTCTTGTTCCGGCAATAAAAACCTAAAAGCCTTCAAGTATATTAATCTCTATAATTGATTAAGTTATTTAGAATGGATTTAAATGGACCTTACACTCCTGAAGAATGGGTTGAATATTACAATATGCCATAAGTTTGCACCAATGAAACTGGAGAGTGAAAAGAGCAAATTTGGATTCATTTAACATATTTCAAAGAAAATGATCTTTTAGAGTAAAAGATATCTTGAAGCTAGGAAAACAATACGATTTCCAGATGGCGGTTCTTACTCGCCTATAATTGGAATAGCAATCTGTTTCTCTTGTGATCGATTAGTATATATTGGACAAAGAAAAAAGAATATAGGAAATTATAACCATATAGCAATGGAGAGGCATTGGAAATTTTCATGTACCGGGAATAAATAAATTATGAAAATTAAACAAGAATGTAATTCTGGATATTATCAAAATAAGTATGCATCACATCGTTATGAGTTATGGGAATGCAATGCAATCAGAAGACTCAAACGTGCAAGGGAAATTAGTAAAAAAGAACCAAGCGTATATAAAGATACAAAGAAAAATCGTGGAGGGGATTTACCGCCCTGATGGATCAACGCTCAGAAACTTGCCTTACACTATGCATGTTTAAGAGCAGAAATGCGCTGTGGTACCACTTCGAATTAGTAAATGTGCCTATTTAACGTGAATCTTATTTTCTAATTTCAAAGGCAGTGAAGGAACAAAGTATTATTAGTATAGAGAAAATCTACTTTTAGTTTGCTATATATATATTCCGTCTGAAATCAGAAGATTTTTGGAAAAATGAGTTGGGATCTATCGACGTCTTGTCTGTTTCATAATTTTTCTTTGATGCCCAAAATAAATAAATTAATTAATTAAATCAAAAAGATAAATAAATAACAATTAATTCTTATACCGTTAAATTGTAGGACTACGAATTCCATGATTTTATTGGATAAATATCACGTGTTAGAGCTTTTTATTCTACATCCGAAATTTATTGAGCACAGTAAGAAATTTAGTTATTCCGAAGTCCACGATTCTCTGGATAATTGAATTTTTCAGTTATGTGCATCTTTTTTATTAGGGGTTTTTTTTACAAATAAAAACTGGAAATTTGAATAAGTGAACGTCCGGATACCCGAACTTTACTGTATATTTCATAAAATGAAGACAATCACTAAGAACAAAGCTAGCAAGAAACAAAATCCGCAATTATATTTTGTCTCCATGCAATGATAGAGAATTTACAGTGACTATTTTGATGATCGATTCGATTCATCGCTAACGGTAAATAGAAATGTAAGTCATGCGGACAACTGATCACTTTTACAAAGAAATTGAAATGGATGTGCAAGTTATTAACCGCTTTTGATCGTTCGTTGTTTCTCGACACATTATAACTAGTACTAACGGAACGAAATATTCTCTATGCATAGATGTGTGAGAAGTAGTGCGCGAATCATAAGAGATTATCCGAGTGAGGTATTAGAAATTATGAGTAATCGAATAATGTATGCCATTGTAGATTTAACAATTTCTTCATTCTGGAAGCAAGAGGATACAGTTTATTGTTGATTCTTTTTTTTCTCAAATTATGGGGTGATAAGAAATCCAAGATTCAACGCCGCCAAGCAAATTTTTACCTGTATTATCAGGTTGAATTCTATAATTATTTTTTAAATCCAGAATGATTCCTTTTGCTCACTTTTTGGCTGTGGTTTCATACCTTGTCCCTTATCGCCAATTTCTACTTTGGTCTCAGGGGCTATTGTGAATACTATTAATGGATAAAGGATGGATGAATGTTTATATGCTAATATCATTTCTGTTGTGGGGAAAAAATTTTAACGAGACGAATGACAGTGGTACAGTTTTAATTTAAATAAATTATTTCTATCCGTTTGTTATTTAAATCTTAATTTATTTATACGTACAATCATAGATATAATAAATACATCGGCAAGAAAGAAATGCCAAATGGTTCTTTAACATACGCGAAATTTTCCAAACGATAATATGGAAAATTGTTCGTCAAAAGATAGCAATTATAATACCCATAGCAATAGTTATATGGATTCATTCCTTCATTTATGCTTTATCACAATGTGGTTTAGTATTGCATTTGTAATAGGTGCCGTTGTAATGGTTATACGTTTACTAGATAAACAGGGACTTATTAATTGGGGTCTGATTCTTGGAGAATTGAAGAGTATCATTAGTAATATTAGCATTATTAATGACAATATTAACGATTGCAAAAATGAAAATAAAAACGAAGAAAAAATAAGATCAAAATCATTATATACAGAAAATAAATCAAATTTATCACCACCACCACCACCACCACCACCACAAGATCAGAAAAAGAACGATAATTTTATTATACTAAACGTAGGTGGAATAAAGGTAAATATAAATTTACAAGTCGAAATTTGAGATATGAATTTTTCCTTATACAAATGATTTTAAAATATTATCTAGTATTATACGTTACGCACAACATTAACTTCACAACCAGACTCATTGCTCGGAACAATGTTTCAAGATAGAAACGAAGCGTTACTTCATCCAATCAGCGGTAATGAATATTTTATCGATCGGAATGGACTCGCATTTCATTACATTCTCGAATACTATCGAACTGGAAAAATACTATGGCCAAAAAATAATAATTCATCATCCGTGGCAAAAGATATGATCACAACTGAAGAATTACAGCAAGAATTCGATTACTTTCAAATACCATCAACTTTCACCGATCTATCACAAGCTCATAAATCAGCCGCATCTCTACTCGACGAATTTATCACTTCCCTCAAAGATTCCGCGTATGAGCCAATTTCGCGTTTTCACACGGGAATCGAATTAATCTTTTATCGAGACGGATCAATACCGTCGATTATTCCGAAGTTCGATTTACCGTCAATATCGAGTATTCAATGGCGTTTCAAACTTGAAGGTTTCCAAATGTTGGAGTTGTTTGGCGAGGAGATCGAGTTCCATATGAGAGCTGCTTTGACAGATTTCAATTTTAAAATATCACCCGTAAGCGCGTATGACGGAAGTAAAAATATCGCTGGTTGGCGCATTACCATGTCTACTAAACCATTGGATAAGTTATCGGTTCTTGGTAATTCATGTCTTGTGCAAGATAAAATTATCTAATCCCGTGTCTTTTTTGTATTCTCATATATTACTTTATCTTATTACGTATTTATAGTAAATAGAAACATAGATAAATTTTGTATTTATCATTATTTTTTTCATGTGCTTCGGTATATCAATTTTCTAATAAATCAAATCCGCCACATGTTACAAAAGTTTTAGCCACTCGTCTCTATCATGCAATAGATCATTCTAATGAGTCATTCTTAAAGTTATACTGTGGCACCATTTCGAGTTACATAAAGAAGGCTTAAAATTATTGTTTTGTAGAAGTTCAACGACCCTTCCACTCAGCTAATAATATTTACTAAAATGAACACGGGAGAAATACTTCCCATCAAATTTCAAGAACATGTCCAGGCAAGTCCTCCACCCTTGGTTTGCCACGCAAAAGAAACCTGTCATTTCGAGTGTTTGGTTCTTTCAAGACTGGCGTTTTATCGTGGCTTGTACTTAAATGAAATGTCGCGCTTGATTCTCTTACTCTTTTTGTGTTTTCTCTAGCTACAAGATCTTGGCGTTAGCGTTAGTAGTATTGGGTTCAATACTTTAACTATGGAATCTGACCGGTTCATCTGTATTCGCGAACAAAATGGAAATACAAACCAAGTCGTGATAATTGAACTAGCAGACACAGCAAACATCCTCAAACGACCAATAGGCGCTGACGCTGCAATAATGCATCCTAAAGAGAAAAAACTCGCTTTAAAAGGTAAAATTTAGGTTTTTGATCTATATTTTCAACACGCGTTTTTTCTTGCCTTTTTGAAAATGAATTTTTTATTATTTGATCTCTAGCATCGCGCCAATTACAGGTGTTCAATTTAGAACAGAAAGTAAAAGTGAAAGCACATAATATGCATGAAGATGTCGTGTTTTGGAAATGGATCAATGACACAACTCTAGGATTAGTCACAAACTCAGCTGTATATCATTGGTCTATGGAAGATGAGACTTCACCGCCGGAGAAAATATTTGATCGGCATGGAAACCTTGTTGGTTGTCAAATCATAAATTATCGCGTTAGTTCAGATGGTAGATGGATGGTTTTAATAGGAATAGCTGCTGTGGTATGTTTTAAAATAGATTATATCTTGTAATAATAATTTTTATGAATAATCTCACATAAAATTCGATTCTTAGGATGGGAGGGTCGTCGGAAGCATGCAACTTTATTCATTAGAGAAAAAAGTGAGTCAGCCAATTGAAGGACACGCTGCTGCGTTTTCTACAATAATGCTGGATGGTGGTGTCTCCCCAACTCGACTCTTCACATTTGCAGTAAGAAATGCAACCGGAGCAAAGGTACTATCAAATTATTTTCTTTAATACAAAGTTAATATAGAATTAAAACTAATAGTTGCAACTATTTTTTACTTTTTTAGCTTCATATTGTCGAGGTTGATCATAAAGATGAAAACCCCGTTTTCCCAAAAAAGGCTGTTGATGTATTTTTCCCTGCCGAAGCCGCAACCGATTTTCCCGTATCGATGCAGATTAGCAAGAAATATAATATTATATTTCTTGTTACAAAATTCGGTTTTATTCACCTATATGATTTAGAGACGGGGACATGTATTTATATGAACAGAATAAGTGGTGAAACGATATTTGTCACTGCGGAATACGAAGAAACTAGTGGCATCATTGGAGTTAATCGAAAAGGACAGGTAAGTAGAAGAAATCATATTTACTTTGAAATATCCTTTTTAATTGATTTGATGCGGTGATCTCGATGTAGGTTTTGTCTGTATCGGTTGACGAAAACAATATAATCCCATATATCAGCGGAATAATCGGAAATTCTGATTTAGCTGTTCGTATAGCTGCACGAAATGACTTGCCGGGAGCCGAGGAATTGTATATGCAAAAATTCTTGAACCTATTCTTAGTGGCAAACTATAGTGAAGCAGCTAAAGTTGCAGCGCAATCACCACGAGTAAATATTACTGTTATTTTCTTTTTACATTTCACATAATTACTGAGTTTCTTTTTTATATACTATAGGGATTTCTTCGTACTAAGGAAACACTCGAACGCTTCAAAGCAGTTCCCGTACCAGCAGGATCAATTTCGCCAATATTACAATATTTCGGCATATTACTTGAAAAAGGCGATCTAAATAAAGAAGAATCTATCGAATTGGCCAAACCCGTATTACAGCAAGGCCGTAAACAATTATTGGAAAAATGGTTGAAGGAAGATAAGGTAATAAACAATGTTTTGATTTTATTGTGTTAAAATTTCGAACATTTTTGAATTTTAGGTTTCACATATATTTAGCTTGAAACCACTGAAGAACTTGGTGATGTATGTCGCCAATATGATGTACCACTTGCATTAGCTGTATATCTTCGGGCGAATGTTTCCAACAAAGTTATTGCTTGTTTTGCTGAACTTGGTCAATATGACAAGATAATATGGTATGCAAAGCAGAGTGGATTCCAACCAGATTATGCTACATTGTTGCAACAAATAATGCGAAGGGATCCCGAAAAAGGCGGTGAATTTGCCACATTATTGGTGAATGACGAAAATGGACCATTAGTTGATATTGAACGAGTATGTGTTTTTTTATATTCAATATTAATATTGTCGTATATGTCATCAAAAAATTTAAACATTTTAATTTATAGGTTGTAGATGTATTCATGTCTCAAAATTTGATACAACAAGCGACGTCGTTCTTACTAGACGCGCTGAAAGATAACAAGCAAGAGCATGGACATTTACAAACTCGTCTACTTGAAATGAATTTGATTCATGCACCACAAGTAGCAGATGCTATTCTCGGCAATGAAATGTTCACTCATTATGATCGTCCTTCAATCGCAAAATTATGTGAAAAAGCTGGACTATATCAAAGGGTTCTTATACTTTTTATTTTTGCGCTCTATCCTTCTTTATTGATTATTAAATCATCGATATTTTAGGCTCTGGAACATTACGAAGACATAACAGATATCAAACGTGTAATAGTACATACTCACGTTTTAAACAGCGAGGTAAATTATTTTTTTAACATTATATCGAAATATTGCATTGCATACCTTTTTTATATATATATAAATTCTCATTTCTTTATGTTGAATTTTTTCTTTTGGACTTTAGTGGGTCGTCAACTTTTTTGGTACATTATCAGTGGAACAATCAATCGATTGTATGAAGGAAATGCTTAAAGTTAATATAAGGCAGAATCTACAAGTTGTCGTGCAAGTGGCTACCAAATACTCTGAACAATTGCAACCTTTAAATCTGATTAAATTATTTGAAGATTTCAAAACATATGAAGGTACACAAGATTTTATTATCGAAGGACACCATTTATATCAACTATCTCATTCGTGTTAATTTTATTACAGGTTTATACTATTATCTCGGATCGATTGTCAATCTTAGCACCGATCCCGATGTTCACTTCAAATACATCCAAGCTGGTGTAAAGTCCGGACAAATTAAGGAAGTTGAACGAATTTGCAGGGAAAGCAATTATTATGATCCTGAAAAAGTGAAGAATTTTTTAAAGGTATTTTTAGCATTTATTTCTTTGGATATTATATTCAATATTTATTCTCAGTTTCTCTAAATAATCTATGCAAAATTAGGAAGCAAAACTTGCAGATCAATTACCGCTAATCATCGTTTGCGACAGATTCGATTTTGTACATGATCTCGTTCTCTTCCTATATCAACAGAACTTGACTAAATATATTGAAGTATACGTGCAAAAAGTGAACCCTAGTCGTACACCAATTGTCATAGGAGGATTACTCGATGTCGACTGTGATGAAATTGTCATCAAGAATCTCCTAATGTCTGTTAATGGTCCTTTGCCTGTTGATCAATTGGTAGATGAAGTTGAAAAACGAAATAGGTTGAAATTGTTGTTACCTTGGCTTGAACTGCGTATTAACGAAGGAAGTAAAGATCCGGCGGTTTACAATGCCTTGGCAAAAATATACATCGACAGTAACAACAATCCAGAAGCTTTTCTACGCGATAACGAAGTAAGCCAAAGAAATTTCTAACCAATTTTTCTAACAGTACTTAATTGCTTAATAATTCATCACTATTCTGTATTATTAGTATTACAATTCTCTCATTGTCGGCAAATATTGTGAAAAGCGGGATCCTTATCTCGCATTCATTGCATATCAACGGGGACATTGTGACAAAGAACTTGTTAAAATCACAAATGAGAACACCATGTTCAAACACCAAGCAAGATACTTGGTTAAACGCCGGGATCCTCAATTATGGCAATATGTACTTAGTTCAGAGAATATTCATCGTAGAGCATTAATTGATCAGGTAATTAATTGATTACAACGAATATCATGACCTGTTATTATTCTCATTGATAATTCTATTCACTCAATTTTTGCATAGGTGAATAACACTGCTCTACCTGAATCGAATGATCCAGAAGACGTCTCCATAACTGTAAAAGCTTTCATGGCCGCCGATTTGCCTCTTGAGCTAATTGAAATGCTCGAGAAATTGATATTAGAAAACACTGCTTTCAGTGAAAATCGTAACTTGGAGAATCTTCTTATCCTTACAGCTATTAAGGTAATTCGGCTTCTCATATTGTAACCATTTTTTGTTTATTTTTGTTTAAATCATTTTTATTCCAGGCTCATAAATCAAAAGTTATGGAATACGTCAATAAATTGAATCATTACGATGCCCCGGATATTGCTGCCATTGCTATCGACGCTCATCTTTATGAAGAAGCTTTCACTATATTTAAAAAATATGAAGTTCATACTAGTGCTATTAATGTCCTTATTGAACATATCGCAAGCATCGATCGTGCCGCGGAATATGCTGAAAAAGTTAATCAGCCAGATGTTTGGAGCAGACTGGCTAAGGCTCAAATTGAAGGCCTGAGAATCAAAGATTCTATTGGTAAATTCACCCGACTAATTAATATAAGAAAAATCTTTGTTATCTGACCATTTGCATTTGTCCACGTTCATAGATTCCTATATTCGCGCTGATGATCCGGCCAACTTCTCGGAAGTGATCGATATTTCTTCGCGAGCCGGCAAATATGAAGATCTTGTCCGTTATTTACAAATGTGCCGCAAACATGTCCGTGAACCATTAGTAGACAGTGAACTTCTGTTTGCTTTTGCTAAAACTGGAAGGTTCCACGATTTAGAGGAATTTCTTAATGGACCCAATGTTGCTCAAATACAAGCAATTGGCGATCGATGTTATGATGATGAATTATATGAGGCTGCTAAAATATTATTCCAGAGTATATCTAATTGGGCTCGCCTAGCTTCAACTCTCGTTCATTTAGGCGAACATCAAGCTGCTGTCGATGGAGCGCGCAAAGCAGGAAGTACAAAGTACGCATATTATTTATTTTTCTCTTTTTTTTCATTTAACCTAATAAATAATTTATTGTGACCATTTTTAGGGTTTGGAAAGAAGTGCATATCGCTTGTGTTCAACATCGGGAATTCCGATTAGCGCAAATTTGCGGATTGAGTCTTGTCGTGCATGCAGAAGAATTACAAGTCAGTAGTGGTTTTAAACAATAGTTTGTTACTCCAAAACCGTATTTTAAACATTTTTTTCTTAGGATGCCATTCATCTCTACGAAAAAAATGGATATATTGATGAGCTCTTGACTTTACTCGAAAGTGGTTTGGGTTTGGAAAGAGCGCACATGGGCATGTTCACTGAGCTAGCAATCTTATACACCAAATACCGCCCCGAAAAAACCGACGAGCACTTGCGCCTATTTTGGAATCGTTTAAATATTCCTAAAGTCATAAGAGCCTGCGAAGAAGCACATTTATGGAATGAACAAGTGTTTTTATATGAGCACTATGACGAATTTGATAATGCTGCCCTCGCAATTATGACACATGCTGCCGATGCTTGGGAACATAATCGCTTTAAGGAGATTATTGTTAAAGTCAGCAACCTGGAAATATATTACAAGGTATTTTATTGCGAATAATTTTAACAATTTTTGTTATAATACTTTATTTACTTAATTTTGTTTTTGTTTTCCAGGCGCTCAAATTTTATTTAGATGAACATCCTATATTGCTTAATGACCTACTTGCAGCTCTTACTCCTCGAATTGACCATACAAGGGTTGTTCAAATGTTTGCCAAATCTGACAATATACCGTTGATCAAGTCATATTTAATTTCAGTACAGAAGGTGTTTATATAACTTGTTGTATCAATAACTCGTTTATCATTATTTATTCTCATTATTATTTTTTTAAACTTCAGGAAAATAATGAAGCAGTCAATAATGCATATAATGATGTCTTAATCGAGGAAGAAGATTACAAATCTCTACGTGATTCCATTGACAACTTTTCTAATTTCGACAATATTAAATTGGCAAAGAGACTTGAAGGCCATGAATTATTAGAATTTCGACGAATTGCCGCGCTTATATATCGAAGGAATAAGCGGTGGGAAGAGTCTATTGCTCTATCAAAGGAAGACAAATTATACAAGGACGCAATTGACACTGCAAACGAATCACGCTCCACCGAAGTTGCTGAGGAACTTTTAGAATACTTTGTAAAAACAGGAAATAAAGAATGCTTCACGGCCTGTCTTTATTCCTGTTATGACTTACTTCGACCGGATGTGGTGTTAGAATTATCCTGGCGAAATGGACTGACCGACTTTGTCATGCCTTTCATGATTCAAGTTTTCAGAGAATTAACCGTAAAAGTAAGAAGCTATGAATAAAAGAGCTTTATCTATGATTTTATTGTAAGTTTTAATTAAACTTTTTTTCTTACTTAAACAGGTTAGCAACTTAGATCGAAATGTTGAAGAAATAAAGGCTAAAGAACGACAGCGAGAACAAACGGAAAACGGTAATTTTATATTTTAGATACCAGTGATATTTTCAATCCTATTTAAGTCTCGTTGCAATTTAAATCAATGCTTGAATAGAAACGCCAATAATTGGAGTCGGTCTCGGAAATCAATTATTATTAACACAGGGTCCTGGACAAGGGTAAGCTTTTTTTGTAGCTTTTTTTAATCTTCTATACCCTAACATACATATTTCTTATTTAGATTTTAATCTTTTATATCTTAACATACATATTTCTCATTTAGAATTCCACAAGGATATGGAACTCCTTATAATGGATCGAATGGTTACCCAAAATATTGAAAATATGGGGGTTAGTGCGAGCATATACAAAGAATTAGATTTGATATTTGTGTAATATAAAAATATATATTTAACGTACATTTAACTAGAAAGGGCTAGTTATATATTTTGACATTGTTGATATAAAATAGAAACTATAATGAACTATTACAAAATAAACCAAAAACTTTTCTATGTGAATTAATAATATTCATTTCCAGAGAGATCAATCAGCGAAAGACACGTACTCAATGTTTAATAATTCTGAAATTAAGATTGAATAAATGAGAACAATCTACATTTCACAAGATTATTTATTGATTTAAATCGATTAACAGTGTGAATCAACTATCGGCAATTTAGGCATTCCACATTTAACAGGTCATTTTTGATTCAAACATGTGATCTCATTAATAATGTACAGATAAATATTTTCCCAAAAGTCTATAGTCTATTTCTAAATTTTTAATATTAAATTCAAGCGGCTGAAGACTTGCTAGTTGCTTCATGGTCCACTTTTTGAAGAACAGAATCCAATAAAGAATTACCATTAATAATTTGTGTTGTTGCTATTATAAACTCTCGTTGTCCTATATTATTTTAAATCTCAATTAGATTATAATTATAAGAATATAATTCAATTATTCGATTCATAGAATATCCACACTATTATTACTAACCCTCATCTTGTTGTGCCATGAATCGTATTGCCGCAACTTCGGTATATGTGCAACCACCTAAAAAGAATACAAGCGTAACACGCGGTTGCTGACCAGGAATTAATTCTATTGGGCATAAATTTAATCAAATTTAGTATCAAATTTATCAAAATCTAATAATCGATCATCTTAAATACTTTTTGCCTGAATAGCTCCTTCTAATTTCTGAATTTCATCAAAAGTTTTTCCAGGCAAAAGTTTCAAAACTTCTTCATAACCTTTCCACCCATTAGTTTTTCCAACATTTCCAACGGAACCACCACCAAACGCTGCTAAAGGATTCATCAAAGCAGGTGGGCCCCCTTTCGTGACTACACATTGCACTAGGCGTACACTCAATGGCGCATAACCAGAGTATACATATGAAATATCTTGAGGATTGTGCTCGTCAACTTCATCCACAATTAATCGTAAGGTTTTACGTACTGGTGGATACGGGTTTTTAGTTGTGACTTGTTTAATAAACAAATTAAGACGTTCCAAGTTTAAAAGGCTTTGAAGATGTTCAAAACCGTAAGTCTAAAAATTGAGCATTTATTAATCCGATTTTCTTTAAAAATAAATTCTCAGATAATAGTTTACCTGCAAAATTTCCTTTTTGAAAAAATCAAAACTCTTTGGTTTGATTCCACCATTCACTAAACTCTGCAGACATAATAATCTCAAGACCTGTACCAAAGGAACTTGACGACCTATCATTTCCTCAATATAATCATTTTGTGTGACAATATCAATCCCAGCAACCAGATCTGAATAAACATAACATATAGTAAAATAATGAATTATTAAGAAAAATCGAATTTTCTTAGCAAAATCATCCTACTTTGTTGAACTTCAAGAGCTTTATTAAATTCAGGTGTGACAGTATGTGCCATTATTTCTTCTGCAATTCCAGTGTCTATTTACAAGTTAAGAACAAAATGAATAAAAAAAGGAAGAAAACAAACAAATCCAAAAAAGGATACGTGTTTTTAAAGAATTATGCTCTGATTGCAGTCCCCCAAGTTTATTCATAAATTCTCTAATCTGAGCAACAGTTCTAGCTTGATGTCTTCCCTATTCAATCAATATAAAAGATCAAACGACATGAACTAAGAAATAATTAAGTAACCTTCAATATAAAATTATGTTTAAATAACTCACTTCGTAATCCTCGTTGATCCTTTTTGCTACCTTATTCAAAACGCCACCTACAACTGCAAAATTCATATCTCTAAGTTGCGCAAACAGTTTATCACCAGAATTTAATGGAATTTTCTTTTTCTTTGTGGGTGGCGGTGGTGGCGGTGGTGGCTGAGCGGGTGTGGTCGCTGAAGTTGATGCTGCTGTGGCTGACGCAGCACTTCTCGTCTGAGCAGGTCCCACTATTGAAGAGTCAACTTCTACAAAAGAATTTCTTATTCCGAATATTTCATCAATAAGTCCTTCGTAGGTTAATTGGGTGCACAAAGGAGTAATTAGATCAACCGAACGATCAACTATAATGAGAGAATCGATGTTTTGCGAAGTGGAGAGCATGGGTGACGGGTCATCTATAGCAACTTCCTTACGCATGCGGAGAAGCATATCTGCAAGATGCTACAAAAAGAATAGTACATAACTAAATTAATAAAGAAAAGCAATTATAATCTCATTTTAAATTATTGGATTATAATGATAACCTTTGCACAATCTCCTTTCCCAATTATTCTAGGAAACAATCCAAATAGTGTCTGTAGTCTCATTAACGCACGGGCAGCATAATAAATTGCCGTGTAATCACCATCCTAGATGTTATAATATTTAGAAGATGTTTTACAATTAATTAATTTATTTGCAAATATACTACCAAATAAAGCTCTTTATATGTGTTCTCCAATTCCATCGATAACAAATCATCTTCGAAAGGAATCAAATCCAAATGATATTCGCCAAGGGTGATCTGTAAGCTCAATAGTCAAAGAAATAACGGCAATAATCGACTAAACTTATGGACTCAGATTATATAAAGGATATCTCCATAGACACCCGCCTCTTCTAAAACTCTTTCACAGATTTTCGTTCGTCGAGGCACAAAAAACAAATTATATTCGTATTTTTGTTGATCACCATTTGCAGTACTACTAGAATTCTCTAACTGATGCGTTCGAATATGTTCTAATAATTGTGTTCATGAAATAAGAATTTTAAAGATTATCATATAGTAAAATCATAAGAATCTTTATTAAAAAAAATATGAAATAATTATACCAGCAATGTATTTCATATATTGTAAAGAAGGACGACATATGTAAATCACGCTACGAAGTTCTGTATTCAGAGGACCTTGCTGAAGATAATGCATTTTTTCTACTCCATGATCCTAATAATGAAGTTCTTGAAGTTAAGAATCATAATTTTTTTTATTGATGTACATAGTCAAGAAATAACGCATAAAGTAAAAACCACCTTCAACAATGAAAATTCTGCCACTAAGCTTAATGGCCCGCTGATATTTGGATCTAACACAAGGCATTTTCGACCTCGAACCTTTAATTTAATGAAATGCCTTACTCTATTAACAAAGATGTATTATTCAAAAAAGAAACCTTTATATGCATAACAAAAAGAATTGGCTCATACAGAATCTAATACGTTAGTCAGCTCTTTTCTTGCTAATTCTCTTAACGTTGAAACGTTAAGTGTAAAACGCGCGTTACCTAAGTGGGACATTTGAAAAGTGCTGCAAATTTTAGCTCGGCTGGTGCTAATGAAATGATCACCAAGTCGAACTTGTAGCCGGCGACAATGAATATATAATCTGTGCTTCGGTTCCCGATCACAATAATTTTTGAATTATTAAATCAATCAAGATATTAATAATTCATCAAAATATTAATGATTATTTTATTAATTAAATTATTAATAACTGAAAAATTCAAAAAGAACAACTAAAAAATATAATTATAATTATAAAAAAATTTATTTTTTTATTTTATATTTAATAATTATTTAATTATATTTTATTAAAATAATATTATTAATAAATATTTTTAAATAATAATTAATTTATATGATATGAACGGCCTAAAGCCATCAAGTACTTTGAAT